CACACACACACACACACACACACACACACACACACATATATATAGATAGATAGATAGATAGATAGATATAATATAATATATATGTATATATATATATATATATATATATTATATATATAATGTGTATGTATGCGTGAATATATATATATATATATATATATATATATTATATATATATATATATATATATAAACATTTTTAATTGTCGATATCGTTATCTTTATTATAGATATTATATTATTATTTATTATCATCATTATGTATATCATTTTTTGCTGGTCATTATCTATTACCCTGAATAAAATTCATGTAATTGATTTTTAAAAGTTTCCCTCTTATTCAGTTAGAGATATTGAATGGTAAAATCAAGCAAGAAATGTCAATGTTACATGTCGCCATTATTATTGTTATCTTTATTGATATTATGGCTATTATTATTATTGCTATTATCGATAGTATCATCTCTATTACATTTTCTGTTATTACTGTTGCTGTTATTATTATTATCATTATCATTACTATTATCATTGTCCTTGTTATTACTATTATCATTATTATTACTATTATTATTATTATCATTATTACTATTACTATCATTATCATTATTATTATTACTATGCATATGTCAAAGTAAGAAATGATAACGAAACTGAATATATCCCGACTGAATACTGGATTTAACCATACTGATAATTCTACAACTAGTAACCATTAAGCACCAATGGCGGAATGGACAAAGTCGTGACTGCGTTGTCTCTTCGGGTCTTTCAGCTTGCCTTGGCGGGAACATCACGAGAAATGAACAATTTTGAAAGGTTTTTGGTCAGCTTGCCTTGGCGGGAACATCACGAGAAATGAACAATTATGAAAGTTTTTTTTTTGGGAACGGCTTCATCCTAATATGATGGCTGATTGTGTTTTCTTTTCGGCAATATCACAGAACAGCCGCCAGAAGGATCGCCACGATTTGGGTATCGACGGATTCCTCTCACTCTCGACTTTCCACATTTGTTGACATTATTGCACAGAACCCCCCCTCCCCACCACCCCACCCCCCGCCATTAGCGTTACTGTTGGTCCCTAGGGCAGGGGGTGGGGCATGCAAGGCGCCAGGGAAGTTAAGGGGTAAAATAGACTCAGAATCAGTCGCTATATTGTCTGTTGCAGAGGACTGTGCCTCCTACGACCACTCGATGCTAAAATGCACACACACACACACACACACACACACACACACACACACACACACATATAAATATATATATCACTCTCTCTGTCTCTGTCTGTCTGTCTGTCTCTCTCTCTCTCTCTCTCTCTCTCTCACTCTCACTCACTCACTCACTCACTCACTCACTCACTCACTCAACTCACTCACTCTCTCACTCTCACTCTCACTCTCACTCTCACTCTCACTCTCACTCTCACTCTCACTCTCACTCTCTCTCTCTCTCTCCTCTCTCTCTCCTCTCTTCTCTCTCTTCTCTCTCTCGGTAAAATATAATCTTCAAATACAGCGTTTCATTATCAGCTGACTTTTTTTCCTCCAGACTCTTGAGAGCGGGAGCACCTCTGAGGCAGAAGATACGAACCAATTGTCATTTCTTACGATAATCACGATAGCGATAAAGAGATGAAGGTCAAGAAGATAAAAACGACAAGATTATGAATGTAGACGATAATTTTTTTCTTAAATAATATGATTATAATTTGGATGTCATTGGTAACTGTGTGTATGTGGGTACGTGCCCGTGTGTGTGTGTTTGTATGATCATGGGTTAATGTATATGTGTATGTGTGTGTGTGTGTGTGTGTGTGTGTGTGTGTGTGTGTGTGTGACCCTGTGCATATGCGTATCTTAGAAAATTGATTATGAACAATAAAATTTACAAAACAATGATAGTAATAATCATAATAACAACAATAGTAACCATAACAATAATAATGATGATAACAACAATAGCAATGATAATGATAATAGCAATAAAGATAATAATTATAGTAACAATTACATAATAATGATGATAATGATAATAACAACAACAACAACAGCAACAATAATAATGACAATGATAATACTAATACTAATGATGAAAATGATAATAACAACAACAACAATCATACCACTCGTCTTCACAAAACCAATGACCCAACCAACCAAATCACCCAATCACCCAACTACCCAATCACCCAATGAATCCTCCACACATCCAATGACCCAATCACGAAAAACCAATAATCAAATGACCCAACCACCCAATCACCCAATGAATGACCCAAACACCCAATGACCCAACACGAAACCACCTAATCAACCAATAACCCAATCACACAATGAATGACCCAAACACCCAATACCCACCCAATCACCAAATGACCCAACCACCCAATCACCTAATGACCCAATCACCCAATGCACCAGACACCCAATCACCTAATGAATCACCCAACTACAACCCCACCAATGAATCACCCAACTACCCAATCATCCAACCATCCAATCATCCAATGGACCCAACTACAATCACCCAATGAATGGCCCAATCCACCCAACTACCCAATCACCCACCATCCAATCACCCAATGAATCATCCACTCATCCAATGGAAACCACCTAATCATGTTGACCCAGATGAAACCAAATCACCCAATGACCCAATCACCTGAATGACCCAATTTAATGTAGCCCAATCAAATGGCATGATCCCAGATTGAATCTGAATTGTGTGTGTTTTTGTTCTGTCTGTGTGTTTGCTGTTGTCTTGTGTTTTTTGCACTGTCGTTGTTTGTGTTTGGGTTGTTATTGTTGTTGTTGTGTGCTTGTGTTTTGGTTGTTTTTGCTTGCTTATTTTTTAGTTTCTATGCTTTTGTTGTCGTCGTTGTTGTCGTCGTCTATGTGTGCTTGTTGTTCGTTGCTCATTTGATATTTTCTTTGTCTTTGTTTTTGTTGTTTTTGTTTTGTTCCGTTTGATTTGGTGTTTTTAATGTCTGTTTTTGTTGTGCTTGTTGTGAAAAAAACAATAACAACGCAACAAAACAACCATAAAAAAAAAATAAAGAACCCTGAACCCCGGCTCGCAACAGAACCCTGGTCGGCGGACAAACCGGGGAAGATTCACGTCCATCCGACCTTCTGCATAAATAAATCGATAGATAGAAAAATAAGACACAGGTCATCCTGCTCGCTTCCGTGAGGGCTGGGGGGGGGGCGAGAGAGCGAAGAAGGGAAGGAGAGAGGTGGACAGAAAATAAGAAAGTGAAGGGATAATGTAATGGATCTTATGCACACACAGTACATTTATATAAAAAAAGTATATATATATATATATATAATATATATAAATATAGAAAGAATAAAGACACAGGCAGACAAAAGACAGACAGACCTACAGACAGAGAAAGAACGTCAAAGAAGAATGACGTGAGATACTGGATTCGAGACAGAAAGAGAAAGAAAGACACCGACATTGTTATCAATCTCATCTTCCTCCACCACCTCCTTCTTCTCTTTTCTTTTTCTCCTTCTTCGACTTCCTTTTCCCGTCCCTTTCTCTCTATTTCTTTTAATCATTTTTATCACCAGCATCAACATCACCATTTCCATCATAATTATCATCGTAATCATCATTATCACGACCACCTCGGGAGCGGTGGAAGGAGAGGACCCGGCGGCGAACACGAAGGACCTCGGTCGTTTGGAGAAGTTTTGGAAGGTCTGGCGTGATGGGATAAAGGGAGGGCGTGGAGGAGACGGCGATGATGGGGAGGAGAGAGAGAGGGAGGGAGAGAGGGAGAGAGGGAGAGGGAGAGAGGGGGAGGGAAGGAGAAGGGGGAGAAGTGAGGGAGAGAGAGAGGGAGAGAGGGGAGAGATATGGGAGGGAGAAGGGGGGAGAGGGAGAGGGAGAAGAGGGAGGGGGAGAGAGAGGGAGAGAGGGAGGGAGGGAGAGGAGGGAGGGAGGGAGAGAGAGGGAGGGAGAAGGGGAGAGGGAGAGGGAAGAGGGGGGAGGAAGAGGTGGAAGAGGCAGAGGTAGAGGGAGTCAGTGAGCAAGATACACTGCCAGTCAAATATCTGTCTGTCTATCAACAGTATGTATGTATTTGTGTGTGTGTGTGTAAATTCAAAGAGATATCATTTCAATATTATTTCAACATTCCTGATACAAGTCAAGCTGTATCCACCGTGCCAAATAAGATGTCTTTTTTATAATATGAACGTGTGTAGTAATGTAGATTTTTTTTTATATAAACAAATGTGTTTAATATGCAAGATGTGGTTTAATATGTAGTAATGTAAGATTTTACCATAGATATTTTTAAAGGATATTCAATACGTTTTCCATTGAATTATTACAATTTCAAAAAAGGGTTTGTATCTGCTCATGTAAATAATTTATATATTCGTATATATTTGTTGTTTTTAAACTATGATTCTGACCTTTTCGTGGACGCGTCACGTGTGATTGAGAATTAATTAGCACTGTTTATGCGAATATTATCATCCTAAAAGTCTAGATTAGATTAAATCAGATTTTTCGCAAAGATTTCTAATACCAATACTTTTATCGATCAGTCAGTATTTATCTCCATAACAGAACATATCAAGTAGAAAAAAACGTATGTAAATAATGCTGTAAAAAAGGATATTTTTTATGTTTATTTATCCTCGTATTTTATTATCCTATGATCAAGTACAACATGTACATGGTCAGAAAATTGAAAAAAGGTAAAACTATAATCTGCATTTAATTATGTTATAGTTGATGAAACTGTAAAACGTCCAATCTTAAGAAAAGAAAAAACTGGCAACTCATGCCGCGAAATTGGGATCTAGGGGATACCCGTTATTTTATTTATTTATTTAGATTTTTCTTTTTAGGGGTGGAGTGTGACGAAGGAATTTGAACTCTGGGGGGAAAAGTAACATCCCTTTTTGATCTATTAAATTCCTGTTTAAAGGATATGTTCGTTGTCTGTTCAACTGAAGGAGAACGAATAGATGCAAATTCATCCGAACATTTTAATAAACTGTTTCCATCCATGTACTTTCACCAGACCACAAGAGAACAAAAAAATAAAAAAAAAAAAAAAAAAAAAAACGAATTTTGAAACAAGGAAAAGGAAAACAAGAAGAAACAGAAAACGGACCCTCTTGTTCCACCCGTAGCCCGAGCGTTTCAAATCTTTTTTCCCGCCTAGCTCGCCGCCGCTCGCTCTCCCGCGCAGGAACCCCCAAACACATGTTTTATAGTGCTCCAAGGGCGGCGTGACTGCCTCGGGTCCTTGGCTTTCTCGTCCACCTCCTCATCCTCAAAATGGCGTCGAACTGCGGGTCCTGAGCGAAAGACCTGGCCTCCTCCTCCGTCATCGGTCCTCCTTGATGCTCGAGGTCATCCTGCTCGCTTCCGTGAGGGCTGGGGGGGGGGGGGGCGAGAGGCGAAGAAGGGAAGGAGAGAGGTGGACAGAAAATAAGAAGTGAAGGGATAATGTAATGGATCTTATGCACACACAACACATTTATATAAAGTATATAATATATAACATATACACATAACACATACACACACACACACACACACAACACACACATATATATATATATATATATATATATATATATATATATATATATATATATATCCCTTTCCCTGAACTACTCTCAATAGTAGCCGGCGTCAGTGGCCACGAGGAACCGCTTGGCCTGCACGTGGCGCCTGACGAAGGCCGTGACCGCAGGAGGGAAGCGGAGGCGAGCCAGGTACTTTCCGCTCCCTGACGAAATGACAAGGATGATTATGATGATAGTGATGAAAATGGTGATAATAATGATAATGATGATATGACAAATGGTAAAAATAAATAATGACAGTAATAAAAATAACAATACTAACGATAATAATAATAAAATAATGATAACAAAAAAAATTAAATTCATTAGAAAAAAAATCTCTAACAGCAATTTCCACTGGAAAAAAACGCCCAAAAGCTGACCTATGACCTCATGATTGACCGCGCCGAGCACCACGCCCCTCGTGATCATGCGCGGCCCCGCCTTCGCGAATGGCCCCGCCAGGTGGCCAAAACGTCATGCAGAAGAGCGCCCAGAAGATCTGTTTGGGAGCGGGGGTGGGGGGGCGGTCATTTTTGTGTTTGTCATGTATGTTATATCAGTTTTTTTTTGTTCTGTTTTAATTGGTATTGTTAGTTATCATTGTTGTATTTAGCATAATTATTTATTATCGTAATCAAATTATTAATTGTGGTATTACATTATCATTAG